TCCCTGCGCCACGACCACCTTTTCCTCCTCGGTGCCTAGCGGGAGCTCCACCGGGCTCGGTGGCAGCTGGGGGACGCCAGGATGTGGCACGAGGCCCGCAAGCACGAGCGCAAGCTGCGGGGGATGATGGTGGACTACAAGAAGCGAGCGGAGCGCCGCAGGGAATACTACGAGAAGATCGTGAGTGTCCCCATCCTCGTCCCCTCCCTGGAGACAGCAGCAGCCTCCAACTGTCTTTCGATGGACCCCGATTTGGGCACACCTGGGCCGTTTGGGAACCATCTGAGTGCTTTGGGGCTCGTTCTGGGTGGAAGAGGGATGGATAAAGGAGCTGTGGCGCTCACTGCTGGCTACCCTCCTCAGGGACACCACCGTGACGTCCCTGGGTGGATGCCTTAAACCTGCATAAGGAAAACCACCCCCCTTTGTTCTCCCCCTTTTCCCTGAGGCTTGGGGCTCCCATTCCCCCTTTTCTCCAGCGCTGGAGGCTCGGGGCTCTTCCTTTTCCCTGAGGCTCCCACTTCCCCTGTTCCCCAGGACTTGGGGCTCTCCCTTTTCCCTGAGGCTCAGGGCTCTTGCTTCCCCTTTTCCCCAAGCCTTGGGGCTTCCCCTTTTCCCCGAGGTTCAGGGCTCCTGCTCCCTCTTTTCCTCAGCACTCGAGGCTTTGGACTCCCCCTTTTCCTCAACGCTTGGGGCTCCTGCTCCTTTTTTTTTCCTAATCCTCGGGGTTTTTACTCCTTTTATTTATTTATTTTTTCCCTAACCCTGGGGGTTTCTGTTGCTCCTAGAAAAAGGACCCGGCCCAGTTTCTCCAGGTGCACGGCCGGGCCTGCAAGGTCCACCTGGACTCAGCCGTCGCGTTGGCCGCCGAGAGCCCCGTCAACATGTGAGTAGCCCCATGTGGGGTGGGAGGCATCTCCCGCTGCTCCCAAGGCAGCCCCAACAGTTTTTAGGGAAGTGGTTGGTGCCTTGCTGAAGGTGTCACCTTTCCCAGAGGCTCTCGTTCAGCCTCAGCATCTTTGAGGCACCAGGCCCACCAGCAAGAGTTCAGGGGTGCACGGGAGGGCTTTTTGCCCACCTGGTGGCACATCCCCGGCTGCTTGGCTCCTCGTAGCACAGCCCCCGGGCTGGCTGGATCCCTCCCGCCCTGGGAAATGAAATCTAGGCCAGTTTCAGCTCATCAAAGGCGTATAAAAATTATTCGGCTCCTCCTCCGCCAGAGCTTCTAGGAGACGCTGCTGCGGCAAACGACTTGCTTCCCCCATCCCCACTCGGGAGTGACTAATGCGGGAGAGCTGAGCCTGCCTGGTGGTGCTTGAGGCAGGGTTTTGTGGGGGTTGGGGGGTGCCCTGCTCTTCCCGGGAGGGCTTTCCGGCTGTCCTCAAGCGTTGACAACCTCTCTCTCCCCACAGGATGCCCTGGCAGGGGGACACGAACAACATGATCGACCGTTTCGATGTGCGGGCTCACCTGGACTATATCCCCATGTACACCCCACCCCTGCCGAAC